TACTCGCGCGGCCGAGTTGAAGTCGGACACCCATAGAGAGTAGCGATCGCCGGGCCAATAACAGACCCATCCAGGGCAACACAATTTATAATCAGATACGGTACAAAAAAAGACTCCATAAACCTCCGCCTGTGCATCAATGATGATTCTAATTTGCCACCAACTAACTTATACGATATATAGAATCATCTTGGCCATCTTAGTGGAATAAATATGACCAGTTATTGGCTCAGCGATCACTACTCTATTTGGGTGTCCGACATCAACTCGGCCGCGCGAATACTAGCAACTACACCACGAAACCGCGTTAGGATATTCCATGAGCACCCGCCTATCGTGGGGCATTGAAGGAGGCGAGGCACACCGGGTTAACGGTAGTTGGGTAACTTAGAGGAGGTTGCAGGATCCTACAGCCTGTCTCACTCCAATTTTTCCGCGATCTCCTTAAGGGTTCCCCATAATTTTACACCTCCACAACATGTCTCGCGTATGATATCATAAGTTTTTTCTAGATCTCCACATCACGGAATGCTGGTACTGGATTCCAGCTGAACATTCACACTTTCCACAGTTCCGGGTTTCGAGCCTGTTGCACAGCATCTCTCCGCCAAGCAAAAGAAAGTCGTTGCCAAGGCCTTCCACCCAGTTTTTCACGTGGTATTATTATAAGCCCCCCACCCATCGAACCCATTCAGAATAAATTATTTTCGCCCCACCTCCTCCTGAGCTCCAAACATCCTCACACCCGCAATTTTTAACTCTTCCCAGACATCTACCTTTCCGCCTCTGCCATCTGATGGCCACATCCCTGCAGGAGGTTTCACAATCTTTTATCTCTTGCGCCATGGTGATGGCCACCAAGGTTGTTCGATGCGTTGCGAGCCTTTCTCGTGCTTCACTCAGCCCTGCCGCAACCCTACAGAAGGGATTGACAGCACAACTGCGCCGCAGATTCACATCTTCAAGCAGGAAGGATGGGGAGGCTGCTGTAAAAGTGGATGTTGAGAATCGACGAATGGATGCGAGCAATTTTATGAATAAGACTGGACTCAAGCCCACAGAGGTTAGCGTTGGGAATGGTCTAATTGTGGACGTGATGATGTCCCCTTCTACCAGTGCGTCACCTTTTCCCTTCCGTTTTGTATTTCTCATGCAGCCATTGGAGAACTACCAACCCTGGCGAATAGGTACTCTCAAGCAAACCACAATAATGGCCCAGGGATCGCAACCAATCTACCTTGACATGCAAGCTACAACTCCTACTAACCCTGGCTTGCTGGATGCTATACTTCTGATCTATACTGGTCTCTACAGAAATTCTCATTCACATACGCATCCCTGTGGCTGGGAAACAAGGGGGGTGATCGGTACTGCACGTGAGCATGTTTCAAAGCTCAACGGAGCCAATCCAAAGGAGATCACACTCACCCCTGAAGAAATGGAGTCGAACGATATGTCAATTGGGTTTGGGGTGAGGTTTTACCAGTGTTCCCAACGGGCCAGGTAGGCCAGGCTGAGCCGAAGCCGGGCCCGGCCTGCTACAACTATGGGGGATTTAGCAGGGCCGGAGCCTGCAGGCTTTGAAAAGCTTGGGCCTGGCCTGGCCGGGCCCAGCTGTAGGCCGTATAGGCTAAGTACCTGTGACCTGATAGGCCGGCCCGGCCTATATGGCCTAGCCAAGCCACGCCCAGCCTATGAATACGGACCTACAACCCCCTCAGATCCTTGGTTTCTGCTCGGCTCATCTCCCATTCCACTAAACTAGTCCAAGTTACTCCCGTGAGAACTGTACGTAAGTTACATAGTCCCTACGCAAATTCCACCCATTGGTGTTAACGGAATAGAACGAGTATCAGTAAGATCACTAATATTATTAGGCACTGATCCTACGTGCGGGTAGTAATATGGATTTGCTCGTGGTTGATGAAACCCCCGAGGTCTAATAGGACTCGGTCAACCATAGCGGGCACATTCACTGATGGATTCCTGCTGAAGAAACTGAATCGGAAGGAAGGATCGTGAGATAGGACTGTGTTGGAGAATCTGGAGGTAGATTTCCTGGACTTCTTTGAGCTGGTTGTGGATCGGTAATCGTGTAGTTATCATACTTCAACTGACAAGTGAGGATATAGATAAAATAATAAACCACAATGAAAGTTGTAAGGAATCGAGCCACTCTTAAAAAAATCAGCTCTAAAAATCCCACTTGCAGGCCTGTAGGCTCCTACCAGGCCTGATAGGCTTCGGCAGGCCAGTTGAGTTCGGCCTATATCCGCCTAGGCTCATCGTCAGAGCGGCCTGCCTTGGCACAACCTACGGCCTATAGGCCGGCCTATCACTGGCCTAGCCCGTTGGGAGCACTGAATGGTCATGCCAGGGAAAATAACCGCCTAGAGGTAATTTAATCTCATGGCCCCTGGGAGTTGCCTCTTTAACATTTTCATAGGCGGTTATTCTGAATGTAGTTGACGACAATCTGCGTATGAAGGGCAATTTTAATGTCCGCGGTGCCCTTGGTAAGCTTCAATAACACATGTCTCTTAAGTGGCTACTAATACATAGTGGCAGAATGGATGGTCTACTTTGCAAAAGAAACCGGAAAAATCCAAGTGCCAAAATACGCTGGAGTACAGACCATGCTCAATGCTCTTGCGGGCACTCTAAGATTCGAAGAAATTGCTCGAAAGGTGGCAGTTGACCGTTGCCTTAAGTTTGACCGCCTTAGTTTTCGCGCAACATGCCTGTATGATGAAGTCTCAAAGCATGTACATGAGAATGATCTAATGATTACTGTCAGAGTGAAAGACTTCACTCCGGACGAGTGCGGTGCACTGATAGCCTACCTGGAACTGCAAAAGGAGTGGCCTGCCCCCCTGAATTGGGTGCTGGAAGAGAAACCTGTCGAGCATGGACCAAAAGCTACTACATAGCTCAGTGTGGACATGATTGTGGACAGGTCGCAATGGTAGTTCCGTGGTTGTAGATTATTTATGCAACAAGGTCATGGAACAGGATATGGCAGTCACTTGTTTTACATTCCCTTTTAGATGGCCTCGGTCACTTTTACAATTGTTTTCCTTATTTACGTTTTTTCTTTCTTGGCCTAGGCCCTCCGATAGAAATAATTCCTACATTGGTATGTGGCTACGGTTAAGCTAATGTCTTCGATAAAATTGATAACGTGAACCATACCAACAAAGAAGCCGCCAAGAAGATATGCTGTGGCAGGCATTCAGAGACTATAAGACCCCCGGGGAATTTGATCCAACACGTTCCTGGATACTACTAGTCTCGTCTTTATCAGAGGAATCAACCACCGCACGTTCATTAACATCACCCTAGTCCCTTTGAAATCTCACACACCCTCCACTCGCCAATGACTCCCCAGTGCCAGCCCGGACATGCTCCCCTCAAAAGTGGTAGCTGGCCTGTGCTCTGGCAACGTTCGCAAAACTCCGCCTGATTTTGCGAGTGCCCCATCTGAGATCTTAGTAAAGGCATGTGCTAGATGAAGTATGACACCGGCATCGTTGGTTACTTGGTTAGAGATCTGTTTGCCAGCAACCGCGGGAGGAGAGGCCAGTCATCCAGAAGAAGGTCACGGGAATGCGGATCTCTGCATGTGATGTAACATGGTATTTGATATTGGTGAAAGCGACCGCCTCCCTGGAGGCCCGAGGCTCCCATGATGCGAAGATGACAGGGCGGTGTCATTCCAAGAAGCTTGAGTGGCTTGCTTCGGGGCGGGTGGGCAAACCGATGGGAGGGCCGCTGCACTCAGAAATGGTTCCGGCCCCAGCCTTAAAAGCAGCACTACGAGAGCGGGGGAGGTGGTAGTGGAAAGTACAGGAGTGATCAAATTATGATTAGGATTCTGTGCGATTCCGCTCGGGGCGGAAGTAAGAGAAAGAAGAAATGAGGTGGAATAGACGCCAGGAAGGGGCTATTGGTATGAGGAGGACATGTATGAGTTTACTGGCTGTTGCGGAGGAAGAACGTATGTACTCCTGCCTACATTCTAGGGGTGGATCCGACTTTTCTGATAGGGAAGGCTGAGTGCTAGGTATACCATTCGCTCCCTCCCGCCCTCGATATCGATTACCCTGTCTACTAGTATCCCTAAAGCAAATCGCCTACAAAAAATAGACGGTCGGGTGTGCGCCATTCTACAGATTTCGACATACCGTCACATAACTCTACGCCAATTTCCTAGGAAAAAAAAGTGGACGCCCACGATCCGCATCATGTTCAAAGAATGGAGATGATCGTCTCTCCTATTACTTCTACACCGGAGACTCAACGTGTCGTTAGGACAATTCTGCGTGGGGAATATGAGTCGATAGTCAAGGAGGCAGAGGAAGGTAATAAGCGGGTGCAAAAATATCTTGTTGCTACGGATTTGAGTGGGGAGGCCCAGCATGCTCTAGAGTGCACAATTGGAACGGTTCTGGGAGATGGGGATACTCTGATGGCCATATATGCCATCGATCGGGATATGGTGGAAGATGGCGACAAGATTGTTCCGGATGACAAGATAGCGGGAGAATTGAGTAGCAATGCTGCCGCCATGGGGACCAGCCTTGCGGCTATGAACATGCCTCATACGCCCGGAACATGCTCTCCGATATCTAACATTGGTGACGTTTCAGAGAGGAGTAGCGAGCGCATGGAGGGAGAGCGAAGGAGGTTCATTGCAGTAGAGGCAATCACTAGGCTGGTGGAAAAGCTTTTGGGGGAGTCGAGGCGTAACGTCGGGGGGCCACTGTAGGGGTGATTCACTACGGGAGTCCGAAGCTTCTCACTAGAATCCTGAGTTTGTAATCCATTTCTCGATATATGATTGTCTGGCTAATATGATTTAGATCGACTTTATGGACCCTACACTTGTGGTCCTTGGTTCCCATGGTAGAATTGCGCTAGAGTGGTGGGCACCTTGAATTACACTCTGTTCGTATTACATCATAAACTAAATCGTCACCTAGCGTCTTTCTGGAATCCTTCTCGAATTGCCAGGTCACTGAATCCTCTGTCCCTGTCATGGTTTCCCAGAAAAAACTCAAACATGCTAAAAGGGTTGCTAAGACCAACACCCTGCAGCCCAATAACCTCATGGCAAGCGCTCAGGCAGGCCGCCTCACTGATGCAAAGGTGGACAAACTACCATCCCAACTCGTTGGAGGGTGAGCGGTGGGAGGTCCGAGTTTGGGACAATGGAGCGTTCTCAATGTACTTTTTTTTTTCTTGTTTCTCTTCCCTTTCTCCACGTCAGATATCATCATCATAATAGAGGATAACTAGTCACAAGCTCTCACTCGTGCGAATAAATTATGCTATTAACTGTATTAATGACCAGTCTCACTCTCTGTTGCTTTTCCTTCATCTGGTTGAAGGATCCCCTAGCCGTATGAATTCACGAGCAGCCGATTGGAGCCAATGAAATAGATGGCGGTGTGAATGAAGAAGGAAAAAAAAGAGTGCTAGAAATGAGAAAAAGAGAATGATTTCGGCCGGGCTCAAACTGGAGACCACAAGGGTGTTGGACTGATGTAGTAACCAATTACGCCACGAAAGGGCATCACCATTGTATTTCAGCAATTTTTTAGCAAGATGTTGTTCATGTTACATATCATCCTGGAGGACGCAAGTGGAGCGAGGCTGATTTCAGACGCCGTTAGATGTTGTACTATGGTTCTATGCCAAGCCGAGCAGGGGTTGATGGTTTTGGGTTCGCGGAAGCAAAGGTTTCCTATCTCCGTTGGGGTTCGTGTTCGTCCTCTTTTCTCTGTTATCATACCTCCTTGCATTTTATCAACTACACAACTCCTGTGTCAGTCCATACATTCCTTTCCTCTACCTCACCGCAAACATCCTTCTTATTTCCTTCAAGGCATATCCTCCTTTCATTCCTGTTTTCCCTCAGCTAGTGAACAAAATAATTGATAGACCAACATAAGCATTCAAACATGCCACCCCCTGACCGCTCCGCATTGCGTAATACTTTTATCTATGCTTCCAAGAATCGTACCGCCGTGCTCGGAGGACTTTGGGCACCGAAGGCGTTACGAACGCTAATCTCTATTCCATGGTGGAGATTTTCTGTTTTATTGGCGATATCTTCTATCTACACGATGGTAGCGAACAGTTGGTTGAGAGGGATGGGAAACAGCTTCAACTAGGCAATTACTATACTATCACTATTAGTAGTCCCTTCTATGCCTCAGCATTGCCATCGACTCGCTAGGGATAGGTTCCATCATTGTCACGGACGAGACACCGATAAATCGTATAGTCTCTTTGCAGACTCAGAGGAATCTCGTAGTGGTTAGGGCGCACGAGGAGAAGAGGGAAAGGGGGCTGTGGGGGAAGGCAATGGAGGGGGAAGGGGACCAGGGAGATGCCCAGAGAAACGATTAGGATGCGTAGGGAGAGGGGGGAGTGACGTAGCCGGGAGTGCAAACACGGAAAAAAGAGTTGGAGGAATCAAGAAGGGGCACGGGTGCAATCACAGTTTTGCTCTTGCAATGTAACCATATTTTCATATCTGGAGCGTGGGCCGCCGTTGGGCGCGGTGTATGTATGGGGCTTATCGCTTTTTGTGAATTATTTACCTAGCTCCAAAAGTGTTATCCGCAGCAACTATTGGTAGAATTGTTCGAAAAGGTCAAGTGATTGTTGGTGAAACGGTACCACCACCCCACCACTCCACCAACCTCTTCCATCACCCGCCCAGTAGTTGTGAGAGCGGGGGGATATATGCCGGTGCGTTGGTGGTACTGGTACTCTGGGGGAGTGCGCGGGCAAGTCCTGTGGACGGTAGGGCCGGCTGGAGTCTGGAGATGGTGGCAATCTTCCGGTTGGGGTTGGGATGTTGTCGTGGGGTTCTCTCTTTTGGAGTATTCTGTAATATTATTAAATTTGACGGGTTTTCCATATATTCCTGCGCTTGGTGGACACGAGCCCGCTGTCGTCCACTTAGCGAGAGCTAGCCCGGGGCCTTTGTGATGTTTGGCTTGGATATTGAAAAGAGCCGCACTAGGTGCGGAAGTGCCCCACTCTTATGGCTGTGGTGGTATACGTATGCGCTAGCGAAGACGCGCAATCCTCTCTTCTTTGCCTGCTTTTTCTTGTTCTCCTTAACCAAGACTTTTCCTTCTTTCCTTCCACTCTTACCTTCTCACCTTTCCTTTCTCTCTATATGCACATACCACGAAAACATAGTCTCTACCGCTGCTTAACACGACCTCGGCACATTCACCTGTGCCACTCCACTCTGCTACGTAAAACCCTTTTCACTTATCATTACCTCCGTATCGAATATTTTCAACATTGGAAAATAAGTGTTTGTCGAGTGACGTTTTGTGATCTTGGTGAATATGGTTAATAACGAATGGAAGGGGTGGTGCCGGTAAGAGATACTGTGCCCTCCTATAGGGTATCCGAATCCATTGCTGAATGAACATGATGAATGGAGGACTATCCGCCAGCTTCCGAACGTTTTCCCCGGCCTCAAATGTTATCCTAGGTAGTGGGAATGGTCCACTGTAATTTTTGTCAACCTGCTATAGGGCCTCTAATACCAAGGTTTGGATCTCGTCTATACCTTCTGTTGGGTTTTGACTCACGTGATTGCCTTTGGGCTCTGGGGGAACGTACTGCGTTTCCGGAGGTGAGCAAAAGTAGAGCAGCAGTCCTAGGAGGGGGGTGTGCAGCTCAACCTCTACGAATAGTGGCTACTTTGGGTTTAGTAGGTGAGAAGTCAATGTTTTTTGCTTGCAACGTGGTGTAGAACCAACTACACCACAAAGGGTACTACATTAGCCACCTCAAATGTTTTAACCTAAGAAAACGCTCCAAAGCAGGATACAATGTAACTCTTTGCCATTCACCCAACAGCCCCCAACTTTCATGCCACCAAGCAACCCATATCCGGTAGTACACCCACTCCAGCAGCCCACCCCACTCAATCTTTTCCAAATGACAGCCTGAATGGTTCTTTCCTTGTTCGGGATGCGGCCTAATGAATTACCTGAAACAGTATCGACACCCGCTTTCGTTATCCTTAGTCTCGCGGTGTAATTCTGGATGCACAGGGTTCCTAAGTTTGCGATATCAGCTGAACTCCTGCCGAGTAATTAATTCACTAACCTCTTATGATTGTCACGCCCCCGGGTATGATTTCGGCATTGTCTTCTAATGTTAAATTTTCAGTTGTTGATTCAAGCAGAGAATAGAATGCACTATTCATCCTGGGGGTGGTCTCCGCAAATTGTAATACTTAACGGTAGTTTAGGCCATGGGAGGCAGGAGCATTGGGCTACCGCTAACGATAGATTGTTAGTATACTACTGTATGGCAGTTTTAATTGAAGGGCTGGATTCGCTTATTGCATCCCATTAGATGGCTGTGTCAAAAGTGAGTGAAAGCAACCAAGCTCTGCCAGAGATCACTGTGGGGCTGGGGTGATAGTGGATACGGGTTAATGAGATCCGGTAAGCTGTGCCTCCCCAAACTATTCTGTCCAGTTAACCATATTCCTTCTCGGGGCGTTTGTCTCTAATCAGGGGATCCATTGTACCTTTACTACTACTCGAGTAGGACATTTCAAGCAAAGTTCATAATTATTATATGTAGCCAGGTCAATGGTTTTTTTGTTTTATCTGGCATGTAGTCTGGTGTCTGGTTGAATTTGCAAATCCACCTCTACAAGTAATATAATATCAAGCTCAAATAGCCAAGTAATAAGAATTTTGCATTGTAAAAAAAAAATCAGGTAACACTTTATACTATTGATCGGACAGTAACATCATGTTCTCCCTCCTCCAAACATCCACCTGATCACTGCACCCACCTCAAAAGCCCAACTACTGCCACAACGGAATATTAAACCCAATAGCCAGCCAATTTCTCTTCTGCAGTGACTAGAAAACATTCATTACCGTTAACACTAAAAAACAAAGTTGTTGCCAATAACCTGCTCACTAAACACACACCCAATCTCTCAAATCCAAATCCTTCCCCTCATGCCACCCACAGCCCAGCCTTCTACAACCTAGCCTATATCTCAATAGAGGCCTGAAAACACATGCATTGCATAAGTCGATATTTCGTTGGTGGAAAATATCACATCCATCGCTGCAGGGTGTGGGATATCGAAGATCGCATGATAGGGGATTATCATCATACGGCCAGTTGGAGTAACCGTTCCCAAATTGTTAATGTTAAAGGACTGACAAAATCCTGGTTGTGGACTGACAAGCTGACCACTCCTTGTGACTCATGGGTACCTCAGAAGTATCATTTCCCAGCATTCAATTATCATAGCATTAGGATTTCGCTTGATTTGCATGACACTCACCATCCGGGTTTGGCCTCCAGAGTTGAGAAGCCACCACTGTGCATCACAGCAAAGTAAGGGTAAACACTCGCTATACCCAACCTCAATCATGACGGAGGGCCAGTCTGTTTCTCGCTGTCTTGTAGCAGGCCTAAGACTACCATCTCCCTCTTTGCTCCGGCATCCCAAAACCTGGAATTGTGTACATCCAACGCTGTGGATAGATGAAATGGGGTGTCCGGGAATAGAGATAATCTTGATAACCAGCCTGAGGTAAAAATCTATAACAATACTCTCATGTGCAGCCCCAGGCATCAAGCGGATTATCAACGACTCCACTGAATTCTCATAGGTGAACTGTGCTATATTCCTGATACCACCCTTCCCGAGTACTGCATCTAGCTCTGCTGGCTGTTCTTCAGTGACGTCTTTAACCATCAGGTAGCAGCCGGAGGCGGGCCCGAGGTCTTGGAGAACTTCATTTATTTCTTTCCCTAGCTCTTCTGGTGTAGTGAGTTGTAGCTGATTGCTCTCAGGAATGAGGCGGGATAATTGAGTGAAGATAGGGCAAGACATCGTAATCAGGGACGAGGAATTGGAGGAAATGTTGGCAGGATCTACAGTATTGGTTGAAGTGGATACGGCAGTAGACCCTATTATTATTATTTTTTTCTGTCAGTGGTCACATGACTCATTGCATCTGTAGAAGAGGAACCATATATACTGGTACTTGAATTTAAATGAGCAGAGTCTGAGAGATCGCCATAAACAAGAGCCATTGGCGAAAGGAGATAAATTTAGATTGACTTCTTCCCGGAGGTTGACTAAAAGCAAATCAGGTCAACCTTGGCATTTTTGACTCTCGCTTGTGTCATACCGATAAGGAAATACCAGTATCAAGCTGCTGCTCCCCGGCTCGTGCCATCTCCCTCGCCAAGGCCACCTCACTGGCTCGTGCCGTCTCCCTCACCAAGGCCACCTCCTCAGCAAGCACCCTCTCTCTAGCCAGGTCCACCTTCCTCTCAAGATCCATCCGCTCAATATCCTCCTTCTTTCTCTCCCTCCGCACCGCCCTCTCATTCGCGATATTCAGTAGGGCCGGGATGGTGGTCAGTGTTCCCACCGTCCCGGGCAGGGTGGGTAAGGACGGCAGGGCATGGCGTCCATCTTTGATAAAGACCGCCGTCCGAGGGGTTGACTCCCGGGCCAGGGAGTCTTAATACAAATAGCATCTTCCGGCCATCCTCACCAGGGACTGGACGTCATTTCGCAGAGCCCGACCATCATTCGCAGGGCCTGGCCGTCATTCGTAGAACCCAGCCGTCATCTGTAGGGCCCGACCGTCATTCGCAGGGCCTGGCCATCATCTGTAGGGCCCAGCCGTTATCTGTAAGCCCTGTCTCTCATCCGCAGGGCCATTTGTAGGTGAGACACCTATAGGGCCTGGCCGGGCATCTGGGTAGTGGTTAGGATGGACCACAGGATAGGCGTTTGTCCAGGGCAGAGTTCCAGAAACCGGCGTCCGTCCCGTCCGAAGCCAAGGACGGATGGACTGGATGCTTGGGAACACTGGCATTGGTGGTGCAGGCGATCCCACCGAGTGGGATTGCATGTTTTGCGATCGTTGCTAAGCTCAGTATTAAGCTGTTAACAATCTTGGTAGGTGGGAAAATAATAAGAAACTCTGAAATTGACTTTGACAAACCAGCAATTTTGGCGAACATCGTTAAGAGAGAATAGGGGAGTGGATGGTGATGTTGTAGTTCAGGAGAAATGCAGAGCAAGGCTTTATCCATGTCCCCTCCGCCATAGATTTCCCTTGCAATTACGAGTCCATTGAGTGTACAACAGGGTGGCCGCGCGTGTTAATAACAACCCAATCCTGGTTTGGGCTCCTGCAAATCCGAATTACTTGTTTCTTACGTAGTCCATGCTTGCCATTATGAGTGCCACTTTTCACCACAAATATAGCAGGATTCTACTGTGCACCGGCAGCTAAGACAATCATTCATATAAGGCATACTTCAAAGGAAGCATGCAAGTACGAGTATTCGTATCTTGAGTCTTCAATCCTCAGATGAATGAAAGGAAATTTTCAATGTCTTGCCAGGCTAGGAGGTACTATAAGAAATTCATATCCATACGAAAGGAACGGGAAACTTTCCTGGGGACTCACCTTTCCTGACAGACCAAATCCAGTAATTCCCACATACTCCCACAACCTACGCAAGAAAAGAGGAGAGTGAAGAAAAAAAATGAGAACTAACTGTTGAAAAAATGATTAATACGGAGGTAATGATCGGTAGTGAGGGTTCATGCAACGGAGTAGAATCATGCAAGTGGAGATAGAAGGTTTCACTCAGGTGAAGAGAAAGACCATGATTGATTGCTTGAAGATGACTGGGAGGAAGAACTTAAGGAGAGAGGTAAAGTACAGGAGTTGTTTTCTCGCAAGAGAGAACAGAAGGGAAGAAAAGACAGGGATGAGAAAAGTCTTCATGGCTTACGCGTCTTCCGGGGGTACAGACATATACTACTGACGCCTTCATGTATGAGCACATCCCGCACCAAGTGCGGCCATCAACTGCTATTTCCAACACTAACAGCTGTAACTTCTCCCGAGTGAGGTCTCATGAACTATCGATCCATCCACCACTGCTAGTTCTTGAGACCGTGGGTAATAAGCAAATTTTTGTTAATGACTAGGGTTTTGCACATGTGTCAACTTCAGAACACAGCTAAGTTAATATTAGCCACATGGCAATGCTTACGCTGGGATCACTGAGGAATACTTGCCAAAGGGACAAAAGTCCGGGCGGTACCAGAAGTCAAACCCTGACCCTTTTTGTCAATATGGACAGCACAGCACAAGAAGAGACTTGATAAGATTTTACATAAAGATTATGAGAAATAACTCAGAACCCTATTCTTTATACTTTATTACTCACTCTCCACCTCAGACTTCACAGCTGCTTCAGCTTTTTCTATTAGGCTAGACATCATTAAGGTTGTGAGTCGTTGATAGCTGTACTCGAGTACATAGCAGTGGAGCGCAAAAATGGAGTTGATGATCCAAGCTAGGACAAAATTAATTAATTTCACCCGGGCTTGAACCGGAGATCAACCAACTACACCACGAAATGTCATGACAAATACAGTCCAGAGTACAGTACTCCCACCCTAAACCTTAACAGGAACCAGAGAAGCCAGACACCAATACCCTACCGCAGAATAAAGGGACCATGTGTTAGGGTACTATTGTAAACTGCAACGGTAAAGAAACGAAAACAGCGGCGACGAAACGACAAATCGGGTTATCGAGGAGTAGGAAAAGTCCAATTGACACGCATACTTCGTATCCGTTCGTCGCATGTCCCGTGAATCCGTGGCCCATACCCCTACCATTTCCAGCCCTCCCCCCATGATTGCCGTTTAGTGGGGAAAATTCGGTTGTGATATTGTGTAGTTTCCCGGTGTAATAACCAAGTATCGTAAGAGCACTATACAAGTATGATGTTACGATATAAGATTGGACCAAAGTTTAGGGCCTGTTTCTTGGCGAGCATGAAAAACGCCACACCTCGGACTTTTACAGTGCCTTTATACACAAATATAAAAAATCGGAGGCATGTTTTGGCACTCACATTAAAATGGCACTTTTTTCACGTTATAGACCTTGACAGAGTTTTTCCAGGTATGATATATTATGTGATATCATATTATAACAAACCCAAGCTCTAGGGCCGTCAGAGAAGACAGTTCAACGAGGCTATCAACTTGGGGAATTTCCTGTGCCTTTTGAACCCCGAGATGGCGAAGAAATTTGCTTACCGAAAACCAACATTTTTGGAAAAAATGACCTTTTTTCATCACAAAACGCCATAAAGTTATACGGTTCAGTAAGAGCACAGCAAATGGTCGTGCGCCAAACAGGGCTTTATCATAGTTCCTAGGCAACATTCAATTCGGCTAACCCTAACCCAGGCTGCGGTCCACTGGTTGCCCACAGTCGGCCCGGCCCAGTCCAGCCGAGCCAGTCCACGCTACAATGGTCCTGGTTGCTTGGCCAGATCTCCAGCGGTACTGTGCTCGAGTATGGTACCGCCAGGCGACTGTGGGTGGCCGGGCCCAATGAAAGCGCCGTTTGCTTGATATCCATTCTCTAAAAGAAAATCATTGTGGGCCCAATAGCCAATGAGAGTAGTCCTGGGCGGATGTTTTGTCTTGGCAAACCGGGACACAACAAAAACATCTCTAACCTCAACGCTCCCACTCAAAGCCCTTACTCACTCCACACATCCTTTCCCCCCTCTCACCCTCTGCTCCCCTTTCCCCGCCCGCCAGCCCGTGCTCCACTACCCGTTAGTGAATATCCACTTAATTTATCGGGCCAGATTTCTGTCAGCCGACTAAACCACAAACGCCCCACCCGCTAATACCCCTCCCCAGTCCTGGTAGCCAGTGGTAGGTATCCCCCTTTCAGGCCTTCTATACGGATGCAATTGTCCGCTAACTCTGTTTGCAGGTGCAAACATCTCTCTTGCCTTACCTTGGACATTGCTGGCGTCTTCAGCTGCGCACCTCAGTCCGAAACCCCAGGGCTCCCCACCCGGTTCCGCACCCAAACTCCCTTTGAGCTGCCTCCTTCCAGGACACCATCAACTGTAGCCCCCAAGTCTCCTCACATTTCCCCCCAGCCCCACCAAACCGAGGGCCCTCCCCAATTAAAATGAGTGACTTCGAGCTTATCGGGGAAGAAGAGATATTCTTGGGCGGTGAAACGGGAGACATGGGTGACGTGGGCGACGAAACGGTTTGCTCAAATTTTTCCGACGTCACGATTGGACAGTTCGGCTCTGCCAGAGTGCTGAAAGATGGAGGGGACGCCAGCCCCGGGAAGCGGTCACCCGTAAAGGTACGTGTAACTTATGGCTCACCGAAGCTATATATCAATATCCATTTGGAATTATTCTGATTGACCCCCCATCACCAGTCCCGCCCGCAAACCCCGACCAACCGCCAACCCATCTCAACAACTGCAACTCCCAAAACCACCCGTCCTGGGTCCCGCCATACTAACATGCAATCATCGCCGGATTCCCCGGTCGCCCCTCCTGATCACAGCCAAGCGGCAAATCTTCTGCTCGACTTTACACAGCAATTTGACGCAATTACTTCGCGTCCGCCGGCGCCGACAACACCTCTGCACCGCCGCACAAAGTCCGCTTCCCCAACCAAGGGTGGGAAAGCGTCGCCGTCCAAGTTCGCGCTTCCTCCGGCAACCCCTACGGAAAAGAAGTTTTTCAATTTACTTGACTTCTCGCCCGGGGCACTGGCCTCTCCTCGCTCAGTGCCCTCGATCACACCCCGTGAGGTCGATCAGCTGAAGGCCTCCTTTGCCAGCCAGCTATCACAGCTACGCGCAGAGTTGAATGGCCGAGAGGCCGAAATCGTTGGACTGAGAGATGCGCTCAGACAATCAGAGGTGCGATATGCAGATGCGAGCAACGGCATGAAACAGCAGGAAGACGAATTCGAAGAGGAACGGAATAGCTGGCAGAACACAAAGGTAGAACTAAGACAGCTATTCGAAGCCGAGAGGATAGAAAAAGAAACCCTCGTCCACGAAATGGAGAGGAGAGAAGATGAGCTCCGGATGCTGCGAGAGAGGGCGGAAGGCGCCCTGAAAGAGCTCGCAGACGCAAAGCGTAGAGTCACCCACGCGGAAGACGAGGCCGTAAGGGCCAAGAAGGAAGCCGAAACCGCTTGGAAGCATGCCGAAAAGACCCAGCCTTCCGGTTCCGCCGCGCCCCCTCCTCCAGACCCCACCAATGTCCCGACAGAAGTCGATAGGGTCGCCCGGGAGCTCCACTCCCTCTACAAAGCCAAGCACGAAACCAAAGTCGCCGCTTTGAAGAAGAGCTATGAAGCGAAATGGGAGAAGAAAGTCCTCGCCCTGCAAACCGAACTAGGCACGCAGAAGAATCGCTGCGGGGAGCTGGAAGCTCAAATCCAGGAGAAGAATGAGGAAGAGATGACCGCAGACATCAAGTACTCCGCCCCCAACGTCGAGGAGGCAGCAGGACTACGCGATGAGGTCCAGAGACTCAAGGAAGAACTCAAGATTGAGAGACGGGAAAAGGGAGAATTAGTCGGTGCTGTGGAGGAGCTCCTCTCAATCCAGGCGAGCGCCACCGCCATGGGAGGGAGAGAATTGGCGGCGGAGGAGCGGGAGAAGGTTACTAGGAGAGTTGCGAGAGTTAGTGGAGTAGGTTTCGGTGGGAGCATCGGGAGTAATAGTGGATTGAAGAGTGGAATCGAGAGGATGGGCGGTGGTGCTAGGAAGTAGACCGGCAGGCAGATTTATATCTTATGAGATTCAATGAGAAATGATATTGGTTGGCATGTTCGGGTTTTCGGTATTGTTGATTGGTTGGTCGGTCGGTCGGTCGGTTGCTTGGTCGGATGGGATGGGATGGGATGGGATGGGGACATAGTCATCGGGTTTATGGATCTTTCTCTTTCTTTCCCCCTTCCTTCTCGAATAGAGTGTCACAATATTGTTCCACCCTTTGTATTATTGTTCTCAACAAAGTATATGGAGTGGGCCATCCGCTTCCCGGATTCTGGCTTCACATTTTCCGCTTCCAAATGATCCATGAGGAGGCTGCATTACCGGTGTGCCCGGGCATGGCTTTTGCAATTATGATATTGGCGGGCCCTCTAGCGACGGAGATGCGACATGAAAGTTGAACCTACTTCACCAATAGACTATATTTAGTCATAGGGTAGAGCAGAGGAACAGTGTCAACGCCATCAGCACCCCACTCCCCACATGCTCCAGAGTCCAGACTCCCCTTGCCCCTCTACCAAAGTCCACCAAATGCCCTAGAATAAATCACCCACGATTCATCCGCCTCAGACGCATCACACAGACCCAACACTCTCCCTAAGGCCACCACCCAGAGCCAGCCCAAACCCCATGACTGCCCAAGTAACTTGGGCCCAAACTTTTTCCCCCAGCACGATTCTAAACATGGCGCACGCTCCAAGGCGATATGAAACGAGGCGAACCGAGTACGGTACGGAAAGGCGAGACGCAAGAAAGAAAAAGGTAGTTAATTTATTTTTATTCAACTCGAAGAGAAACCCCCAAAACCCCCCCAGAGAAACGAAAACTTTTCGTGCTTAGTCGAATAGTCCGAAACCCATGTCCTCGTCCGACTCCTCCTTCTCTATTTGTTTTCACGTAACCCGTTAGCATATGGCCGTACAGGAGGCCGTAGGGGCTATGGGATAAAGCAAACCTTCTTCCTTCTCGGGCTCCTTCTCCTCAGCAGCACCGCCGGCGCCACCTCCGGCGGCGGCACCACCACCAGGAGCTGCGGCAGCTCCGCCCCCGGAACCGACGTTCAGGAGAAGGTCCTTGACGTCCTTTCCCTCGAGAGCCTGTTGATCCTTTGTAAGAATTTGAACCAGATATCTAACCCTAAGGAAAGGGCTCACCTTTGCGAATAGCGAGCACCAGATAGGTTCGACTTCATTGTTGCCAGAAGCCTTAATGAGGGCTTGGAGCTTGTCGGACTATCGCACGGAAATAATAATAATAGTAATCAGCGTCCAGCTCTCTCTCTCTCTCTCTCTCTCCTACCCCTTCTCTCCCTTCCTCCAACCCATATCAAATTACCCGGAAGGGGAGGGAATGCGTACTGTAACCTCAACACCATCATCGGCGAGGATGAGAGCGGCGTATGAAACAGCGAGTTCGGAGCTAGACATTGCTGTTTGTATGGGCGTTGGTGGAAGGTATAGGAGGTTTCTTTCCTGATTGTTGAATTCGTAAGTGTTTGTCGTTCGTCGTGTTGCCCGTAGGTGAGGTTGGCCCGGTGGACTGCTATGTAGTGGTGGGGGGAGGACAGAAATTGTGGGGCTTTGCCCTAGTGCTGGTCAAGGTTAGTGGGGGGGGTTGTAAAATTTGGACCCAAAAAGCAGTCCCGTGACGATTAGGATCACAAGATATGCGTCAGATTAGATTAGATTAGATTAGATAAATTATCTGTTTGATCTTATCATAGCTCCGGCTAGGTTGGAGGGCGATGCTTGGCGGGGGTGGACGGCCAACCAGAGACCGATTTGAATTGGGGGGCTTTTTTCCTTCTAGCACACCCCGTCACTCGTCTTTTTCCCCTGCATCCAACCCTATTCCCCGGCCCCTAGACCGCCATCCCGCCTGCCGTTGATTGGGGCGAGATACGATGTGATAAATCATGATGGAGAGTTATTCGCGCTCTCCGTAGAGGAGGAAGAGCTATTGGGCCACGGTAAGAGGCACTGGCACAGAGATATTAGGCAGGGGGGGGGCTGGGGTGCATTATGCACTGCACCGCACCGTTGACTATCTCAGCGCTTCCTCCACACTCGTCTATATATTCGACATGGTTACAAATTCTCCATCGTACAATGTTTGGCGGGATGGCTCCTTCAATACGAGTGATCCTATTGTGATGGAGTCCAAAGATGTTAACGAAATTATGAGCAGGGATGTAGGGGAGGCGAGGTCTCACAAAAAAACTTGGTGAGACATGAAGATTTGTCGTTTCACGGACCCCCATCTGCCTTCTGTGCTGTCCTCTCTCTCCCAATTTTTTTTTCTTCTTCGGATGATGGGTGGGCTCTAAATGATAAATGATGCATGGGATGCAATTGCCTGTTAGGAAATGACAGCAAAGTAAAGTGTTTCTCCTGGATGGTTAATCTCCTTGGCCCAACAACTCATCCTTCCAAGTTTTTATTTTTTATTTTTTCTCGCCGTCAAATACTGTAGAATTCGGTGACGATGCTGGCGTAGTTGAGGCTCATGATGCCAGGTGGAGGAGGAGAGGGGACGGCTTTGCAATAGCAAGGACTGGTTCATACCGTAGCTCAGTACTCGAGTAAGTTATCTTTGCGGCGAGTATCATGCTTGGTGCAACTGGGCACACGCGTTATTATGGCCCTTGGGTAAACAAAAACCCCTTCTTCCTTTCTCTCCTTTTCTTGGGTGTTTGTTTATGATGCCTTTCGAGGATTCCTTCCCATGCCATCGTAGTCTTGTTCTCCTTACTCCTTTGCATATTCTTCTCTATTCATTTGTTTTCTCAGAAATTTGAGAAGCTCTCTGTTGTTATCACTCTGCTATTTATCCCGAATTTTGTTCTTTCTACGGACATTTTCCTAGTTCAACACCGGTACGCTCCCGCCATCGCTACAAGGTGTATTTCGCCCTGTAGAACGTGCAGCAAGGCTTGTCACTTTCTCAACCGCTGATTCGACGGATCCTAATTTTTGTGGCAACACACCCAGAAAGCTGGGATCTGCTGGACAACGCATAACTTCTTGCCTTCCCTCCCCCCCCAGCCTTCTTTTTCTCGGAGGGAGAAGAGGTGGTGGATAAGTTAAGGAAGGAATAGGGACGCTGGGTGCTCACTGCTCAGTGAGGGAGGGAGATAGGCAGACCGGTGGTAAGAGTTAATTGCTTTGATTGCTGCTTCGGCTCCTGCTTCTGCAATATATCGTTCGCTCCCTCCTACCTTTGATCCACTTTCCTCCTCTTCTCCCTTTCATTTCCCCTCTCCTCTCCTATTTGCTCTTCTTCCATTTTCTGGAGTAAGGGCGGGAAAAACTCGAAGGCTGGGTTTTTTCTGTTCTTACGTCGTTCTTTTTTAGTCTCCGTTTATAACAACCCCTGTAATCGTTTGATTGTTTCCATTTGGTTTTCTATCCCTCTTTCTTGATTATTATTTTTTGTTTTTATGAGTGACAGCAGAGGAAGAAGAGCAAGAGGCCGCGCAGGACGGGAGAGCAGGGAAGGATAGTTTGTGAGAAGAGAGTCACTGAGAGAGAGGCAAAGAGGAGAGCCCGCTCAGGACCACCGGTAGGGCAACGGGCGAGGCATAAACAACAACAGGAGCGGTTTGTGTAGCGGCGGTCAACAGAGCCAGGAACTCAATTGGTTTATTATGATAGCGGCAAGTTGTCCTTGACCGTCTCCTCATCCTCTTTTTGCGGGGCTGTAGACTGTTCTGTCGTTTCATAGGGACAGACGCGGCTCCAATTGTAAGTTCTCTTCTCACCCAGCCCCCCCAATTGACACGATAGTAGGAAATTGATTGTGCCTGCCATTCCTGCCCAAAATACGCTTCTACTGCCCCCCCCCCCTCCCAACCCCCCCACTTACTTACCCTAACATACACTTCCCACCTGCACATGAGAGACACGCCCAGACCTATCCCCCTTCCCCTAACTAATGTTGCTGGGCTCCAGGGAACGAGAAAAGCTGCACACCAAGCGCCGCCCTGCTTCACATCCTCTCTCATTCTGTCACAATTACCTGCCATCCTGTTTCTGTACACCCACCACCACCACCACCACCTCATCCACATTACCCTGCTCTTGGAAGTGATATCCGATATCCGCCGCCATCTTGTTCTCCTCTTCCTCCTCTCCATCCTCGTCGTCACCGACACCGACGAGGGGAGACTTTATTCGGGGCAGCGACTACACTCAACACCGAAGGTCCGCTACAGACTCCCCCACCCTTCCTGCCTTTCAAGTGTCCGCGAGAATATCCCGACATACCCTTTCTGCCATCCACTTTGCCCTAGAAGAAGCAATTCGTACTCCGTTTCCTTTTTCGCCTGATCCCGAGGAAGAGAACGCGTCTATGTCAGCAACGATGGCTTCGGGTGCCCCAGGTCCCACGCCGGTGGCTCAATACCCAGCATCGGCAGCGAGTACACAGCATCAACAACGCGGACACTCAAGACAGACGAGCAGTGCTCGCCAAACCCAACATCAGCAACAACCACACCAGCAGCAGCAGCACGGCGGTGACCCTTCCGCTGCGCGTCGAGAGACGAGACCGAGGGGCGCAAGCCAATCTACACAGCAGCAGCAGAATATGGGAGTTAGTGGGGGAGCAGGTTATGCGGATGACCGAGGGCCGACAGTGAGGGTTGGCCAGCCAACCACTGGACACGCGCGAGTTGCTAGTGGCGGATCGGCGCAACCAAGGGTCCACGTTCCTCGGCCTGCAGCGTCGGGAGCGTCCGCGCCGAGTGGGGCTCAGCAATCAGGCCAAGGATACCCCTCTCAGCGCCAACCTCAGACTGCTGGCTCTTCTAAATCACGACAGACGGATCCTGCTCGGCCAGCGCCAGAGCAGTCCCGGGTTCATCCGCAAGTGGTTCCATCTTCAAATCGTGTTCCTTCACAAGCTGGCGCCCAGCAACCGACATCCTCAAATCGCCCGAACTCGGCTACTCCCGGGGGAAGCTCTAGTCGTCAAACACAACACCAAACCATAACCAGCAGTTTCCCGCATGCATTTGAGCGGTGGGAGCGGCTTTCTTCACGATGGGAGGGGCTAACCGGATATTGGATCTCGAGGTTGGAACATAACAGGGAAGAGTTGGCTGGTATGCCTCTAGAACAGGAAATGGCTAGACAGATTAGCGATCTCTCTACTGCTGGTGCGAATCTGTTCCAGGCCGTTGTAGAGCTACAGCGCCTTCGTGCTTCTTCGGAGAGAAAATTCCAACGGTGGTTCTTTGACACTAAGGCTGATCAGGAGAGAGCTAAGGAAATGAGTAGCGAGCTGGAGCGTTCCTTGCGCGTAGAGCGTCAGCAGCGTGCGGACGCCGTTAGCCAGGTTCAGAGACTTGAGAAGGAAAAGGCGACGGCGGAGAAACTTGTTGATGAGATGAGGAGAGAGTTGCAGATTTCGAAAGAAGAATGCCGACGCTCCTGGGAGGAATTGGGACGAAAGGAGCAAGAGGAGCGAGAAAAGACTAATAGTCTCAAAGAAGGAAATCCAACACTCGTCGGTGGAATTCAAGTATTCCCCATGCGTGGGGTTCCTGGTGGGGGCTCGGCTAGGCCCCGAACAGCTGGAAGCAACAATACTGGGGCTACTCCTCAACCGATGATGGAAGAGCAATTCCAAGACAATGTATATGGCAGGGAAGCGGTAGCAGATTATGGCGGTGCGCCACTCCATCATGAACCCCATTTGCCGTCACCGGGACAAGTGCCTCCTACTTCGGCTAGTGGCGCACACTCTCTTTCTGACACTGCTCCTCCAGCTTTCCCCCAACAGCAATCGCATCGGCCGTCAACCTCAGGCCAGCAGCAACAGCAGACCCCAGACGTCCACCCCTTCTACCAGCATCAACACTCTGCTCTTCACCTGCCGCCTGATCAACAGCCGGGAAGGACTCTTTCTCCCGGCGAGGAGTCATACGTAACCAACAACTCTGCGATGCGTTCGCGCGAGTCTGGATCCGTGACAGAATCGCAACAGTCGGAAGTAGGCGAAGTAGAGGGATGGGAATACGACTCGCAGGGAAACCCCACACCTGTCTCGTACCAACGTCGTGAGCCCAGTCGCGCGGAAGAGGAGGAGGAGGAGAGCTGGGATTCTTATCCCACGTATGACGGAAACGACTACGAATCGAACGGTGGAGGTAGTGGCGGAGGAGTAGCAGTTAGCTATGGAAGAGGCTGGGAGGGTGTTTCAAGGGCCCATCACCATCCTACGAGATTGAGCGACGTTCCGGAGGAGGACGAGGAGAGGAGAACTCACCTCGGCAGCGAAGGCGGCCGGGTTTCGAGGTAGCTTTTGTGAGGAGCGTGCTCAAGTCACAAAAAGGGGACGTTATGAGAGATAGAGAGAGGGAAGGCTGGGAGTGACGATTGGAATGACGAAGTCTGGTTCTGGATTATGTCTTCAATCTTTCCCTTCATTCCTATGGTTGCGTGTTTTTTCTAGCTAAACCGCATTGGTAAAACTTTGTTTGCGTGTTGCTTTATTCCTAATGAAAAGGGTTTTCCTTTTCTACTGTGATACTGATTGCTTGTCTTCCGTTTCCGTCGGATTGGTTAGGAAGGGAACGGGGGTAACGGGAGCGGGGGGGGGCGGGTGCGGGGCGGTGGTGCAGGTGCTTGATATCTTTTTTCTTTTTTCAACTCATCTCACCCTTTTTCCTATACCTCATCAAGTCCAATTGAATCAAAAGTTTCCAGATCTAATTTTTCTTTTTCTTCTCTTTGATTCCCGTCTTTCATCCTGTCTGCCAGCCTGGGGGTTTTGCTTGTTTTTTCTGTCGCTTTCTTCCTCATCCTCTTTTCGTATCATTTCTCCATGCTCTAATTCATCCCCCCCGCTACCTACCTACCCCCCCCAAAAGAAGTTACGTTTTATAGACACTGACGCGTGGAGAGAGCAAGAGAGCGCAAAAAAATGTCAAAAATATTATGAACAAAAAAGAGCATTCCTTTTCCTGTATCCTCCTTCCTTTTTCGTTTTATTTATTTATTCTTATTCTTACTCCTATTTTCATTTACTGTGTTTTGTATAATACCGATACCGAATGAGTGGCTGTGGCGGCAGCAGAAGCAAAGACAGATGCTGAAGCAGATGAGTTATGTTATGTTGTGATGCTGAAATGATTGGGCTTTTCTTTTTTGGAGTGGGGGAAGGAACTTAAGGTTTGTGCCTGATCTCGGGAGGTGTTCCGGTGATTTCTAGATCTTGGTTTGATCACGGAGGATACTCGTACTAGTACAAGTAGCTTTTGGTACCGAGATGGTACGGTACGAGTACTCGAGTGCAGTACTTGTAACAGGGTCACAGGGATATTTAGTGTGCCGCAGCAAAAAAAGCAATATTTGGATTGGCTGATGATTTATTTGTTTATCCATTTAACTTTAAAGTTCGACTATTGTGATTGGCACTGATTGTCGGGACATTTGTGGAATGCTTGATGATTTGGACAGAAACTGGACTACGGTATCGTATATCGTACTGTAGCATATCGGATCGGACTAGAAAAGGAAGAGGATACCGTAGAAGGAAGAGAGAAGATGGTAAAAAAATAGAAAAAAGAAGAGACCAAGGATCGACCAGCCATTCCCGCAACCACAATACCCGCTATTTAAAGCCCAGTATTAACCAACTTCTTGGCACTAACACCGTGGGGGGGGGGGGGGTCCTCAATCGCCGGACATCTATCATCTCCGCATCCATTCCGGGCTCTTGCCCGGTTCCTGTTCTTTCTAGGATATCGTGGCCGTCTGGTGATGGGACATATCGGCCAGTTATTGGTAATGATATTGGTTTAGATCGTGGTGGGGACAGCACTTTACCACCCCTCCTTTCTACTACGAGCTCAACGGCACAGTCAGGACCTAGACGTTGTCGCTTGATGGAAGTAGGGACATCGGGATACCGGCAATCCATGGCAGGTGTCATACCAGGCAGGTTGACGACAATAGGGGCTGCAGAGGTGTTTTTTCATACAATATGATGGTTGCAACATGCTGCTTTTGCGACCAGATTTCACGTGACGGATATATTCATCGGCCGCACTCGTAGAAATAATTAGGTGTGTAATCCTCTCAGAGAAACGTTCAACCCTCTCCCACCCATCCTCTTCCACCCATCCTCTTCCGCCCGTCCAATCACCACTTGCGAAGCAACACCTCGGGTATCCACAACCAGTACGATAACCACATGCTTCGTCTATTTGCAAAAAAGCACGGAGTTCGCTTGGTCTCTCAGCAAACCCTGCGTCCATCACTCCGCAGAGCCTTTTTTACTGGAGATGACAATGGCTCCCATTAGCAGGAGGAAGCAAACAAAAACGGTGAAGGCCAACAGAAGGGTAGCCGGTTTGATGATCGTGTGGTGCGTTATCCGTATGATAATTGGAGTTGCATCTAATAAGCACTGCATTGACAAAATTGATGATCGTCTTACGACCAACATCAAAGTATAGTTTGTTTGTATCGGTTGAGTTCGTGGTGAAAGCTAACAATCAGAAAGGACCTTGCGGATTTTAAAGTCGATATCTCCAAGAGCCTTAACGATATAAATTTGACAATGGAAAAAGGGGTTGGGCAGGTAAGTACACAATCAAGGCAATACATGGGGACCAAAGAGCTGACATGGAGAATACTCTTGCCGAACTTGAAAAGAATCGCATCGAAATTAGTGTTCTCCACGAGCCGAGAGGCTCGGAGGCTCGGCTCAAGCTTTTGGCTCAGGCTTCGCGAGCCGACATATGCCCAGAGCTGAGCCGACTCGAGCTTATCAAAGCTTTGGCTTGAGCCGTACTCAAGCTAAGCTCAAGCTTATTCAAACGATTTATTTTTCATTTCAAATCGGCACGGGAAAGAGAGGGACTAGGATCTCTAATATTACCTTGTGTATGTCGTGGAGGTCCTAGTAGGCCAGGGAGAAAGAAATTTAATAATTTTAAATTTTCCGATACTCCGGAAGCCGTTTACACACATTTTTCTTAGCCTAACTCGGAGCGCGGAGCCAAGTACGGATCCCACTCTACCCCTAAATCTGCCTGGACTCATGAGAGGCTGATGATCTGGTATGTTAGAGGGCAATGAGGACTCCTAAGTAGAGTAAGTCAATTATATTTTCCATAAACTTACAGTCCTCGATTGATTTACACAAACTAGGGGGCGGGCTAAGCGGAAAACTGATATGTTCATAGTAGAGTTTGGAGTTTTTTTTCTACCTACTTAATATTTGGAACATATCCTCTACTTAGGTATACTATACGGTTTCCCTTGTAGGTCATTTTAACGAGTGATACTACGTGACCACTAACAAAACTAGGCTT